ACACGTTTTTTACATATAAAAGAAGCAAGATATATATATAATTCCAATTTCAACGTTTTCTTTAATATTTTATGTTAAAGTTAATGATATCACATCAAGTCAAGGTGCAATTCTACCTCTATCTGTTTTTTGGTCGCGTTTTCGAGTCGTAAGAGCCGAAAAATAGCTGAAACCTTTACATTTATAAATATAATATAATCTCTTCATTTAATCAAATAACTCGGCTCTAACAAGAGCGCGCGTAACGCTTTCCGAAATCGCTCATGGCGTGGTAGCCGCCGCCATTCCTCGAGGGAAAGAAATTCTTCACACTGTGCGTGCGAAGAGGAACGTTTTCAGCGTTGATTCGCGCGTCGCGGCTTTACGACATCCTCGCGCAATCGAAGGGCCATCAGCGTGGAGATCGGTAACGATCGTCATCCTGTTGATTCGCGAGGGATCGAGAAGCCTCCGGAGGGGTTCGCCGCGGGCGGTCCACAAGTGTTCGTGGATTCCGCTGGATTCGAGGGTGGGCGGAGGGGGTGAAACCTCCCGCTGACGAGAGGGCAGGAAGCTGTAGCTTTGCCGGATCGACTACCAGCACGATGAAATCGGCTCGCCGGAGAGAGAAAGAGAGAGAGAGAAAAAGAGAGAGAGATAGAGCAGGGCGGCGGACGTAGGCGGCCATTCGTTGCTGTTTATTAATTCGAGGCGAGGCGAGATGCGTCCACTTTGTGAGCTTCGGTTGCTCGTTTCGCCCACGCGCTCGTCACTGTGTCTCTACTCGACATGCACACGCAAACACAAACACACACACATACACGCACATACACGCTTTCTTATGTGCGCGCGCGAACGATGATAATGCAGAACATCGCGAATAAAATACGTCTAGAGAGGCGGGGGTGGGCGCAGGGGACTGCGAAAAAGAGAAAGGGATCGGACGAGAGAGAGAGAGAGAGAGAGAGTATCGTGAAATCTTGGAAACTGCGGAATGAAGTTTTTGAGAGCACTGAATAGCGCGCGCGGGGGTGCGGATGAGCCGGGAGGCGTCGTATCGTAAAAGCGATGATAAAGGCCTCGCTATACTAACATGTCGCTGCCGCGGTTTTTTACTAGCCACGGGGATGGCGGGTGGTGACGGTGGTGGTGGTAGTAGTGTCATTTTATCGCCGGCGGGTGTAATGCAGCATCCGTCAGCTAATCGCGCCACGGTTATTTTGGGCTCGTTAATAATAACGGCTTTATTTATGCGGCACGAATTATCATAAGAAAGAACGATTAACGACGTTTCGTAGATGCATACATTACGTGTCCGGATGATGTCACCGATGAGAGAGAATTTGGGAAATCACTTTGCCGGGTGTATATTTCACGCGGTTGTGGAGGCCACGGTGTGTCGCGCCTATGCGACATTCAGCCGAGGACTCGTCGAGCTTTGGAGTTTAACGTATTAGCGCGCGCCGCAGCGCGATATTAATTACGAAAACGATTTTTTCCCGTCGACAGAAGGAATGCGTGAAGTCGCGCGTCTCCGTGTCCTCTCCCGTTTCATTTAAGCGACTATAAATTTTCTCAGGTGGAATTTGGCGAAATTCGAGGACACGGCGCCCGCGAAGAGATCTCAGTGGTGTTCTCTAAATACCGACACCTCACTTTTATTTTATCAGCGACTCTCAAAGCTACAATTATATCCGCCTGAGGTTTCTTGCGAGAGCAGCGATATATTATGCGGCGATGAAACGTTAATTGCAGGATCAGGCGCGTAAGGAAGCTACCGCGTCAGTCGCTCAGCTACCATATCTTCATCCGTAAACTGTCAACGTGGACAATTTTTGCGATCTAATTGGGATTTCAATTTCCCATAATAATTGCGGATTTTAATTGGGGATCTACGTAGGTTCTAGTTGGATATATAACGTTTCAAACATACGATTCCACACGGCAGACAATGCTGTTGAATCAATCGGATTTTCAACAGTGCGCGTAATTGGAATAAATCTTCTTGATTCAATAGCGATATCTTTGAAACTAATATTTTATTTGTTAAAACCGAACATAACACAGTAGTTTTAATGATATTTCTCATTGAATCAAGAAGATTTATTCTAATTACGCTACTATTGGAGAAAATTGTATTAATTCAACGTCATTCTTTCCGTATAGTGAGAAACATAAACGGATCCTTGTTCGATCATCTCCATCATGTCTCCAATTTCTCCTGGTTTTGTTAAACATAGTAATGTTAAAAATATAATCCCGTTTACTAATCTCCTAATCTGATATTCGGTCAAACTGTCTCAAACTCGACTCTGGCGATGACAGACACGTGGCATGAAGTTGCAGCGCATAGCCAATAAGTATCGCGAGAAAGAAACTACATCCCATATTTGTGATAAGAATCGGAATCTGTGAGACAACCTATTCTCGGACAACTTTGGATATTCCAATCGGAATCTATCATAGATTACTTATGCTGTATCTGGAAAAAACTGGGAAAGTATACCTATGGTTACGTCATCGATTTTTCGTCCGAAACCGAATCGTGCTAACTTGAACGAACAAGCAGGAAAATTCGGCACGATTTGACTCACCGGGATCTGTAACGTTCGATGATGCATTCCTCTTTCCTGGCGCTGGACGACATTAAAAATAACTGTCCAAAGGCATCCGCGCGTTAAACCACCCACCCACGTTCCGTCTCACGTTACGATCGCGTATCTCTTTTAACGCGGCGAGAAATCGCCCGGCCGATATCCGAGCGTCGTTACGCGCAGCGTTTTTCATTTTTTTCTTCTTTTTTTTCAGATTTCGCAGGAATGTATCGTATCGACGGAAATAGCCGTCCGCGCCTCTCGGTAACCGAAACAACTGTGGCGACCGAGCAAATCGCATTTATTACAAGGAAAATAGAGCGAATTTCTTCGCTCCGACTAAAATTAAGTCCCACGGACTTTGACTAGCTCGCTTATCATGTTCTCTTTTTGCCTCGTTTTTTTCCCCCGTTTTCACAATCGCTGCGCAAAATGTCATCTCCTACGGCACTCCGCTCCGTGACACTCTCGTGGTCACTCTCGGAAGTGGCGATCTGCGCGTTTCGATTGTTTCAACATTTTTCAGGAGTAACTCGTCGATTTTTCGAAGACGCGATGTTCATTGGAACGAGCCGTGAAAAAAACAAATATGGGACGTTTAGCGAACGTGTGCACGTGGCCTCCGCCGCATAATACGGAGAGAGGTTCACGATTCTATCCTGAAGGAGAGCGAGAATCACCGTCTGAGCCGTAAAGCTTAAAAAATATCCCGATCGAGACGCGCAGCGGATAACGAGGTCGGACCTCGGGGGCACCTTCCATGCCCGGGGAGAGACATCGATGGTTATTATGGACAACACCATGGGGACCCGTAATATGGCCGTCGCGTTGCTGTAGGTCCGCGAGAGCCCTTCCCCGGCTCCTTCATCTCCTCCTCCTCGTCCACGCGTCGCGTCTTAACGGCTGTAAAAAAAATCATTCTCGCGGCGGAGGACATGTAAATTTATGAAGGCCCCGGGGCCCTACGTTTGCCCGCCTTTGCACGCTCGCCTTACGTCCCTGCGGCCGCATTGTTATGCTAACAATTAATTAATGTCGCTTTAATTGCATCGGCGCGTCACGCTCTTCCTCCCAGCCTCCCTCGCGCTTTACGCCCTCCCGTCACTCTTCCTGCCCGGCGACGATCTCCTTCCGTCTCTTCTCGGCGACATTAATGCGACGGGAATTATGCTGATCAAGACGAGATCCGTTGTTTCTCCCACCGTCCATTGTTGACGTACGGGCGTTTGAGGAGCCACGAGAAGGACTCGGAGTATTTTTCTCCGACCCCGCGTAGGAGAGCGCCGATTAGAAACGCCGCCCTCGAGGCGCGTATTGTCTCGCGCATTGTGCGGATCGCGCCGGCTCTACATTGTTGCGGCTTGATTAATTGTTGTCTCGTAATCAGGCGTTTTCGGGCATCAATGCGGGTTCTAATTAAGGCCCGCGTCTGGCATTCGACCGTTGCCTTTTCGGTGTTCCGAGAGCATCGAATACGACGGATAATTCTGCGTAGAAAATTTCTTGGGATGTAATTGGGATCCAGCCCGATTTCGCAAAATAATGATGGAATAATGTTGGTTCCGGTTAGAAGTGTAATGTTTCAAACACACGTTCTAAGCGGAAAACGTAAGCAGACGCTTCCGACGTTTACCTGAAACTGTTTCTAGGTTTTCGTTTTGCACTACGGTGGAACAAAATACACGAAAGACTTCAAGTATTTACATTTTACAAATATATATATATATATATATACATACATACATACATATATATATATATATATATACATATATATATATATACATATATATATATGTATATATATATCTCTCTTTGTCTTTGTCTCTTTCTTTTACAGAGGGCCACGTGGCGCGCTCGCGAATCTTGGCATCGATCTCCGTCGCGTTCGTACGCGAGTGGAGCGAGAAATCGCGTGAACGGCCGCTTACCCAAACCATCTTCGTCGCCAAGAGCTTGAAGCCTTTCTCCTCGAAGCGCTGGATGATCTTANTTGTATATATATATATATATATATATACATACATACATAGGCACACACGCTACGTGCGCGATTTTTAATCATAGTAACGTGACAAATAGAACTCAATTTATTAACCTCCTTATCTGATATTCAAACTGTCATTTGATTCTGGCGGTGAAGCAAGCCGCAGCGCGCAGCATAACAGCATCGCGAAAAAGAGGCTTCATTTCATGTTTGGGATAAGATTGAAATTCTCAATCGCAGCGGTATAACTTATTTTGAATATTATAATATCGGAGTCTATGCTATACGCTTAATTATTCACGTACTCTTAATAGTACTTTCAATATTAGCTTCATTCATTTCCGAATGACGCGGATCCGATATGTTAAATGCAAAATAACACATCCGCACGTGATTAACGATTTCTGATGCGCGTTTGCTGATCGATCTTTCTGTTGCAGGACGTGAGGAGGCCCGAAGGAGCGTAGATGATTTCTACTGCCTGCGTCCTCGGTAAGTCGAGCGATTAATATAGAGGGCGCGCATGAACGAGCGCGTAAAATGTGTCACGCGCGAGCACGCCAGGGGGTCTCTTCATTCGTTCGCGGTCCCTCGTTCTCGCCCGCGTACGCGGCTAATTATACACGCGCGGCACCGCGAATGCCGTAACTCCGGATACCGGATGCGTCACCGAAATGTTTAACAGCTCTGCGCGCGAACGAGCGAACGCGCGAACATTAACGACCGCGCTGCCGTCAGATTCCGCGCTATGAGCATTTTATCGGCTTCGCATCTCTCGCTTGTTCTTTCTCTCTCTCTCTCTCTCTCTCTCTCTCTCCACCCTCGCAGCACGCAAGCTGGCTATCTTTGGTCGCATGCGCCATCGAGCTGAACGGATCTCGCCCTCTCGACAGAAAAGACGTCCGATTCACCCGGTCGATCCTCGATTGTCATTGTGAGAATTTCATTCCTCGCCATTAGGGTCGACGAATTAACGAGTTTTCGACGTACAACATCAATCTTCTTTCAATTTATATCCAAGAATTTACGTTATAACTTACTTATGCGATTTTCAACATTATGCGTACATATGCAAAGCCAAAAATCACATAACTCTTGATCCAGGAAATGGTGTGGCATAATACATGACGCTGACTGCTCCTCGCCATACAAAAGGCGATTTGCCGGATAATCATTCCGTTATGAGTACCGATATCGCCCGGGTACCTCGTCTCGGGAGATATTTCACGCTTAAATCTATGAGTTCGACGTTTTACGACATTCGTATTACCGTGAGAGTAACTACGATAATTACCATCGGCGATGTTACAGGACCGAACACGCGCACGACAGAGAGAGAGAGAGAGAGAGAGAAAGAAGAAGATTCTTACGATCCTGGCGCGGCGTAAAAACGGCTCAAGCGTCTCGAGCGAGACTTCGTAAATCGCCGCGGCCGGAAAGTTCCGTTTAACCGGGCGAATACCGTGGCGGAGTCGCCGAACTATGTGTATCTATAATCCGCTCGATGAATTTCAATTTACAACTCCGGTTCCCGCGGGCGTAAACATTGGCGAGACCATAAAATTCCCGGCTCGCGCGATTACGGCCCGGAGAAGAGTCGTTCACGCTCGCCTTCTTCCTCTCGCCATTAACGAGAGCACGCGTGCATTCCCCCCGCGCGCATCTGCATTCGCACTGCCACTAAAACCGACCGAATCTCCCCCCCCCCCCNCCCCCCCCCCCCCGCATGTTCGCCGAGGAGAGAAAGCGGTCCGGATCGGAGGAATAATTAGCAACCGACCGTTTCTCGGCGCATTCGTTTTGCCGCGGCGCGCACACGCCGCTCGTTCGCGTTTTACTTTACGATATTACAAAACGAGCAGCGCTAATATCGATCGATCGATCGGCCGATCGCGCTCACGGCGGCGCGATATCGCCGCCACGGTTAAACGCGGGTCGCAACCGACCGACAAATTAATTAACGGCCGATCGTAACTCCCGCGCGCGTCGACGCCGGAGTTAAGCGACGCGATCGACGCGCGTTGCGCAACTCCGCGAGTTGATTAATGAATCGCCCGCTGATTAATGAATGCAAATGACTCGCCCTCACTCCTCCCTCCGCTCTCTGTCGGCGGACGCGCCAGCGAGAGCGTATAGGCGAGCGCGAGAACGTTGCCAGCCGCGGTTTTTCGGTGCGACAAACGCGGATCGATCGGTCGTTAAGAGTCACGAGGAGGGTCAGCACGGGCCTCCTCGGTTTCCGCGCGTCGTGTCGATGCGGCCTGCAAGAGAGAAGAAGCGAGGAGGGTAGGCGAAAGGGAGGACAGGCAGGCCGGACTGCCTCCTCTTCCCCATAAATACGGATTTAGTCGCGCGGTTTACGACCGAAAACGTGTCGAGCCTCGCGAGCGGAGCCGCGCCTAAATTATTAAAGTCGTAAACGATCGAAATCGTCGTTAAGCGCGGCGCGCGCGCGAAGAAACCCATCGGGGCCCGACCTCCTTCCCTCTCCGTGGCGGAGGATCGTTTTCCTCGAGGTTTCATTGTTAGGCCGCGTTATAGGCGAGTCTCGATAACGCGAGGCCGCGATCCGTCGTCCGACGCGACTTCTGCGAAGCGTCCGTGTAGATTAGACTCGAAGACGCGGTAAGGAGACACTTACGACGGATAATCACGCGGTGAGTGCGCGTGCCAGACGTCTTGCCGAGCGAGAGAGAGAGAGAGAGAAAGAGAGAGAAGTGATTTTTAGCTGCTTTTATTCCGACACCGGAGAAAAATCGTTTCTTCCTGTCCGCCGGCTGTAAGACGTTCGCCCATCTGGTGTGTGTAACGAGGACTCCGTGTCCTTCGTAATCTGACGTTTACGCAGGATGCTTATACAATTTTACTGCGGTTTTGTGGAAGAGATGTTTTATGAACAGAGTGCGATTAACGTAGTGGAGAATATATAGTAAAAAAAAGAAAAACATTTTGCATTCGCGTTAACATATTTTTTATACGTTGTTAACATGTTTTTGTGTTAAATTGTTTAAATATTCCCGTGTTAATTTAACGTATTGGCATTAAATTAACACAGGAATATTTAAAAAAATGTATATAATATAAACACAATTGTTTATATTATCTCAGTATTTTGTGTTGAGCATATATAAGTTCGACACGTGTAAATGTTACAATAACACATTTCAGAGTCGATTAATACATTATGAATGTTAATTTTGCCGAATCATTGTATCATTAGTGCAAGGCATTAATAAAGATACTTGTGAAATATGTGTTGTAGGAAGGCAAAAAATTTCCAACGAGGTGTGATTAACGTATAAAGAGAGAATAATAGACTGATATAATGGACTGATTAACGCGTAGGCGATGAATCGTGTCGGATCTCCGCCGAACGGATGATTCAAACAAATAAATGCGAATGCGGGACATTAGCATATTAGCCGCACGTATGGACTTATCCGGGTTTGCGCAACATTTGCCGACCATAATCGCCACTGTAATTACCTTACTAGACCGTCGTCACATTTATTTCTGTAGATGCAAAAAGCCCGAAACACACAACGTCACGTCACGTCACCGTGATAGGGAGAGTAAGAGAGAGGGAGGGATGGAGGGAGAGAGACAGAAAAGAGACGCGGAAAAACGTTGGTGTGCTGCACGTGGTAAGAAACGCGATTAAAATTTGTAATTAAAATCAGTCGTGGTATATTACCCGCGGACAATGTAGTCGGACGAATTGCGGCGCGGCCGGCGGCGGCCGCTCACGGAGATGCGTTGCGGCGGGCAAAAGATTTAATTGCTACATAATTGCCCGTTATTATCCGATGATTGACGCGACGTGTTTTATTGCTGTTGCATCTCGCGCGCGCGCACGAGCGTGCGATAAGCGCTCAAATTAAAACACGGTTACGTAACCGCGGCCGAGTATCGGTGGTGTTGTCCGAACGCGTACAGAGAACGAATACACCACGTAGCGTATCTTAAAATACGGGGACTCCGCTTCCCGTTTAGCCGTGGGATATAAAATATGAAGCGCCGCGGCGATCGCTATAAATATCTTCCCCAGGATTTCCTTATAAATAGAACGGGAATAATTCAGTTGCACCTTCATGCACCGTTTTACACGGCTCCCTCGCGTTAAACGAGCTACACCCCGTAATGGCGTTTAAGAGTCCTCTCCTTTGTCGGGCCTCGTTACTTTGTAATTTACTGCCTCCCTTTGAACGTCGCATTAAAGATTTTCTCGCGGCACGGGGCGCGAGAAAGAGAATGCAGGATCGCGTGTAACGATGATACATGCAAGCATATCGCTTCGCCGTATCAAAGCGGGAGAGAGAGAGGGGAAGAAAAAAGAGGGGCGGAAAGGGGCAGGACGCGAAAAAAGCATTCGTGTACATGTGTGTGTATGCGCGCGTCGTCAGGAGAACCGACCACCCGGTTGTTTTTCGACGGCGATCCCTCCGCCGCGCGAGTCGAAACGCGTGTAACGAATCGCTGTCGCGAAAGAGAAAGAGAGAGGGAGATAGAAACGACGATATTCTCCTCTCTCTCCCTCTACGGTCCCTCAAATCTCCCTTGTTTACCGAAGAACCGCGGAGAATTGCGGCGGTAGTTGTCGCGCGATATTCGAGTAATTATCAGCGGCGAATGCGAATTTATTCCGGAATTAAGTCTGCATAAATTTATGAGAGAGACGCCGCTCTCCCGTGCTTTACACGAATAGACAGAGATACCGACTCGGCGCGAGGGCTTCGCGATGATCTCTTCCTCTCGGAAAGTGCTCCCCTCCCCTCTCAGAAAGAGGAACGAACAAGATGAAAAAAGTGAGAGAGAAATGTCATCGAGCTTTCCGGCGCACCTGTCAGATCCTCGGCACGTTTGAGATTAGAACCGATTCCGGGAAGAAGGGAGAAGCTGGAGAACCGCTTAGAGAGGCCACGACGAGCCGCGAAGATGCATGTCGGGCTACCGCGTCACGTATCGGAGATAGGCGGTACGCACTAGGTGGCTGACTACAAAGAAGCGAAATCAATTTGCAATTTAAATCCGTCGGCGTACGTGCCCGCGGGTCATCCGATTGCCGCGCTGCGTCGGGCCGCGTCGATGATTTCGCTGAACTTGGATAGCCACGATAACGGCGAGGTGAGATCCGGACGAGATCGAGAGTCGTTCGACTGCATTTCAAAGCTCGCGCGCGCACGACGGATCCGCGAGGTTCCTGACCCCCCGGGCGTCTCCTAGACGAGAGACGACGGCATCCCCGCGGACGTGCCGCACCAAAGTGAGAAACTTCTCGATCGATATCGCCGATTTTACCAATCAGCTGCCTGCGTATCCCCGCGTCGGCGAGCGTATCGTCGGACGATCCCCGGTTCTCCTTGCGTCACGATATATCACGCGCGCACAAACATATACTGCGTTCGCTCGTTCGTATTTCTTTCTTTCCTCCGATCGCCGATCGCCGCATCGAGGTAATTCTTAACGATCGCGGCGATGTACGGGGATTTCTA